CGGGGAGGGGAGCGGGGAGCGGTCGCGCAGCCCAAGCGCAGGTCGGTAACAAACGGGTCACGTTTTTATTGAAGACACAGAGTACAAAGGAGTACAGAGTTAAAAAAAAAACAGCTCGCGGAGGGAGCTTCACAGTGAGAAAGAAAACAACAAAACAAAAACAAAAACAAAAAAACACCAAGAAACGGTTTTTATTATTGGTTTTCCAAATAAATAAAAAAAGAGGACATTTTAAAGGATTATCTTACCTAAAGCCTAAAGTATAAAAACACGCATCTATAAATAAAGCAGGAAGGAATCGTTGCTGTTTCTCAGGCGGGTGGAGGAGGGGGCAGTGCAGGAGCGCACCCAGCCGCTGGGGGCACGGGGACCCCCCCCCCACCCCAGCTCCATCCCCAGGGATGCAGCCCCGCTCCCCAGGGATGCAGCCCCGCTCCATCCCCAGGGATGCAGCCCCGCTCCATCCCCAGGGATGCAGCCCCGCTTCCCAGGGATGCAGCCCCAGCCGGGCTCGTCACACACCGTTCGAAACACGGGCCGTGCTGGTCCCATCCAGAGGAGGAAGCACCTGCTCACTCAGGGGCTGCTTTAAGACCTGTCTATTATTTTCATGAGGTTTTTGTCACTTAGTACCCTGGATGCCACGGGGTGGGGTGGGAGGAGACACCGTATACATGCATTAATTTACCAATTGGGTTTAAATACCTGCATTTAGTTTTTCTTATATATAGTTATATACATATTCTTTCCTTAAAAAAAAAGTTCGTATGTATCTATTTATGGAAATTAAACGTCCCAATTCTGCAAAACGGGGCCTGGGGAGGAGGCTGCTGTAAGGCCCGTCCCTACCATCGCCTGGGAGGTTGCACGGAAAGGAGAAGACAACCTGAGAGAGGAGGTGGAAGAAACGCAGACTCCCGCACACGCGGCTCCTGGGCGCTACTGAGGGATGGGGAAGAGGAAGGTGTTACCCTGCCGGCAACAGGAAATAAAACAACAGCGTTTGCTGCGCTCTCAGGTTGCAGCCCTTCCTACTGCACCGGTTCAGAGGGCTCAGGTATGAACCGAGGGGTCCCACAGGCAAAGTAATACTATTTACAGGATGGGGAAAAAAAAATAAATCCCCAACAACTCTTCTCATTTTGACCAGGAATGTTGGGTTGAAGGGGACAAAATGTATTTAAAGAAGTTATGTAGGTCCAAAGTATTTTTTTCAGGCTTTAAGTTAAACAAATAACTGGTCTTAACACAGGTATCTGGTTGTGTCTATGCTAACACCCACACAAACCAGTAAGAGGGAGTGGCTCAAGTTTATGAACTTCTCCCACAAGCTCTTCACTTCCCAGGCTGTTACCCTTCAGTATTTCTCTACCTGGCCCAATGGGCAGCCTGTGGTGGAACACATTTACAAGGTGCAACAAAATGTAACACATTTATGCTCTCTTTGTTCTGTAAACTAGAATTTTGAATAATATTTCCTACTGCCAGCAATAGGAAGTTAGCAAGGAAGAATCAGTTCAATCAGTCTCAAATTATAAAGAGCAACACTACCTCCTCACCCCTCTCAGCAACAAACTTGTGGCACCAGCATCTCCGTTACTTCTGCTTCTCAATTCATAACACCCAAGCCTTGGGCAATCAGCTTACGACTTTGCCATTTAAGAGAACACAGTTGCTTAGAGGACAGTGAGCAAAGAAACAAGAGGCCATATAGGACATACTTAAAACCAAACCGCTTCCAACTCATTCTTCAATTACAGATCATCATCTCAGTCCTAAATCTACTTTCCTGAAGCCTTTCTGTACTATATCTTTCACAGGAATTGGCTGAATTGTGTTATTCAGGCCAAGACTATGTCTACCTCTACTCTGTTTTCCTAAGCATCCTACATTTACTATTCTAATTTATTTTAAACTACACAACCATTCTCCAACTGATCTACTTGCCCAACACTTCTCTTACCATCATTCTGATCAGATTTTACCTCTGGTTTCCTGTATGCAGCTATGACCCCAAGCACAATCCATTACAGAGTGTAAAACCCACTCTGATAAGCTTAAAAAAGTCAGATTTGGTTCACACAACTAATTTCCAAGGAGCTTTGTTTCATAGCCCTACACCAACTTCACTGGTTGTTGCTCTTTACCTTAATGGGAATTTCATTCTCACCACTCAATCTTTTGTATCATCTCTGACCCTTTTTGTCACTACCTCGAAGTTCAAATAATAAAATGGAATAAAATTGCACAGGGAAGTAATATAAAGGACCCTCAAACCATTATCACCAGTACCAAAAGATACCTGGGTTGGAGGGACTGCTATTTTACCTGAGTGTCTTGTGGTCCCAGTACAGCAAGAATTCTCCTGTATACTAGGACATATGTTCACAGTCTGAAAGTGGAGGAACTTATCACCTCAAAAGCAAGCCTGACCAACCCTAAATCCATCACAGACCGAACACGACTGCAAACATACATTCTACTCATGGCATGTCCAGCACACCTTTTCACTCAAGGAAACTGCCAGAAATTTCCTCTCTGGTTTTCAACTTACCTTCCTTTGCAAAACCTGTCTGTGCAAGTGAAGCTGCCCATGAGACCAAGCACACCAGCTGATTCAGCACAGTGCAAGGCTGAGACAGGACTAGAAAATAACAGCTTTAAAATTTCAGTACAAGCCCAAGGAAGGGAAGGTTAGCAAGGACACCTGAAACACAATTAGGCAGATTTAAATTACAGGCAGAAGCAACTAGAAAGCTCTCAAAGTGCTCCTCACACTGCCAAGTACTGAAGCAGTTGCCAGTGGTGATCAGCCAGCAAACCTGTCAGGAGGAGAGAGAGAACTACAAATTATTCAGCCCTGAAGTTATTCAGAAGAATAACTTGATCCTAATGCTAGGCTGGCCGGCCCAGTAGAAAAAAGGCTGCACTGCGGATCTCCAGTCACAGACAAGAAGTCAACAGACCACATTTCCAAGTGCCACAGGGTTTCCAAGACATGACAGCCAGGACCATAAAATGAAAGGAAACTGCTTCAAGCTTGTAACCTGTGGAATCAAGTGATGCTGTCTGGCTGCCTTTGCGTGACTTCCACAGATGCTAGCAGTCTCTCTCCTGTCAAAAGCTTGTTGTTTGCATTAGGTTTACAAACTGAGATGACACTGCTCTGCCTGAATATAAATCCAAGACAGACTAAAAATGGAGAAAGAAATAAGGCATTTTGCATACCTGTCTCTGTTGTGGAAAGGAATGGGACTAAGGGGGAAGGTGCTGAAGAATTTCATTTGTTTGAAAAATTTTTTTTCTTAGCTTATCGTTGACCAAATAAAGATCACTGGATGGTTTTAAGCCACAAGAAACACAAGTTTGCATGGCCTTAGAGAAGCTTCACAGAGTGAGAAGAATATTACACACACAACTGCCAGAAGGGAAGGTTTTCTGTTTCTCAGACAAGAAATTAAAGAAAAGCAAATAGGCTACGGGCAGGGTAAATTGTGTTAATCACATTGCAAACTATCTTGTTCAGAGTTCTTGGGAAATCATTTTCTGTGAGTAGTTGAAACAGTTTTACAAAAGTTAAGAGATGTAAAGGGATGCAAATACCCTGTTCTAGTGGAAAAGCAAGAAGAAAACATTTTCCTATTAGAGTGAAATGAACAAATTACACAGATGGGCTGTTGCACTGAGGATCTCTCAAATCTAGAGTTACACTGTAAGAGATGGAAACCAGCTTTTCCATGTCACTTCTCAACAAATAAATCATCATCCCATACTTCCCAGTGATGATAATATCAAAGTCAATATCCAACTCCTAATCATAAAAGGTGGCTGAAACAAACTTTCATATTTGTATCTGAATCCCATTTTTAAAATGTCTGCAGGAAACCCAGTCTGAATTATCAGTAGAACACCAAATTCCAGATTAAAACTATCACTACAGAATTCACTAAGTTATCTCCAAAGCACGGTCCAAGGGTTGCAGAGCCTTCCTCCAGAGGTAAATACAGATAAAATACAGTGTGGGGACTCTCTTGAAACAAGAGAAAAGCAGACAGGGTTGTCATGACAACAGTAGGATGACTACAAGTAACAAAACTAAGGCAGGAAAAGAAAGAACAGCAAGACAAGATTTAAGCAGAAAACAGTTCATTAATTGCACAGACACTCCAGCCTGTCTCCCTGTTGGGGGTTTATAATACAGAGATTGTTTCTCGCTGGGATATGGCAAAGGGATTTACAGTTTTTGTTAAAAGACAAAGATAACAGCCACAAATGTGACATAGAGCAACAGTCAGAAAAATAAATTAATAAATAAACCCATTAAAAGTCTGCTTCTTGATTCTCATGAAGCCGTGGAGAGGAAAGGATTGGCTTCACCTGGACTCCTTTTGTTTTTAGTCAGCAGTTCAGAATTTCTTGGATAAACTGGATTTTCTTTGTTTCTTTATGTGTCAAACATCCTGACCTCCCGGCTATGAAGAAATTTCAAGGCAATTTCTCCAAACTCCTCTTTCAAGACTTTGTGTAGAGACAGGAAGTTGAAGACCATTGGGGAAAAATATTAAAATTGTGGCCAGCACATTGCTAAGAATTAGAGCAAGTCAGTTGTAGGGACCTGAGGAAATAAATGTATAAAGGTCTCCCCACCAGCCCTAGACCAGTGCAATGATAGTATTTGTCTGAAGCTCTCTCCGTGGTCCTCTTCTTGGGATTAATTTTGTGTATTCAAACACCTAAAACACCCCTCTTAGAGCTTTTTGTCCATGCGTCGTTCCACAGCTTGTAGCAATAGTTCTGAGTACTGTTCCAGCAAAGCTAGTGTCTGCTCATCTCCCAGACTCTTGGGACTTGGCAGATTGGCACCACATCCCTCATTCAGTGGGTTAGTGGTATCTTGTGGCCTCACCAGTATCTCCTTAACCTTTGGAAGCTCCTCCTCATCCTTCAGAGAGTCCAGTTGTTTCTTCATTGAGGAGAATGTTTCTGTCAAGAGGCCTGCTATTTTATCTTTGTCAGTAGAAGACTCTGTATCATTTAACACCTGAAAATAGAGAGGGAAAAGGAAAAAAGAATGCATTTGGGTTTATGTAGAACACAAAGTAAAGAGTTTCCATCCTTTAGGGAAGCAAAGCCATTCAAGATCTGCAAAGCACTCAAGTGTCCTTTTCTTCCAACATTTGAGACTGCCAGTTTAGTCTTACAGCAGGGCATGCATCCAATATTGCTAGTCACATGAAATCCAGAGACATTGCTCCACTAGGATAAAAATGGGAAGCACATTTTCAGGTAGTGTTCCCCTTATACTGGGCCTAAGGAGGTGCTACATTTCCCAGCTGCAGCACAGGGCCACAGTCTCCTTTTCTTCCTGTCTGCCAGATGCAGCTGGTCACAGAACACAGCAGGGCTGGAAAGCTAATGAATGCACTAAGGCCAGAGCTGCAGAGGAACCCAAGGCGAAAGCTCACCAGGGAAGTTTCACAGGCATTACAGAAGACTTGAAAGATGAATGCTAAGCAAAGAAATTAAGAGCTGTTATCTTGTTCTGCATGTAACTCTGGTCTGCCAGTGAGATGGACTGATGAGCAGTTCCATGTTCCCTGTCACAGCTGGATTCCCATGGTAACCCACATTTGCTAATCCTTTTCCCAGGCATCAGAAACAGAACAGGTGGCGATAATATAACTTAAAGCTTAAAAAAGCTTAAAGTATTTTGTACCTCTGAAGCACTGTATAAATATTAACTAATTCCCTAATACCCCTTTGAAAAAGAGCACTGTTATGTTCAGTTTACAGATATGCTAAACAGACCCAAAAGTTAAATTATTTGCTCAGAGCTCCATAGCAAGCCACTGGAAAATCCAAAAGTTGGAAATCTTCTGCCTCCCCAATTGAAGCTTAAGGTGCAGTCAAGTGGACAACCAGGCAGCTTGTGACACTGAACACCCAACAGAAGGCCCTGAGCCAGCAAGCACATTCACCGGATGCTCTCGGGCTGTGAAGCTCACCCCCCCACCCACTGCAGCAGAGCCCGTGCCTGAGGCCACTCACCCTGCGGTACAGACGAAGGGCTCTGCACATGCTGTCCTGCAGCTCGGATACCACCTGCTGGCACTGCTCTATACTGATGCACGATTCTGAAGGGGAAGAAAAAAACAAAAACCCACACTAAAGCACAGATGACTCCAATACCTGCAATCTCACAGTTCGGTAAGAAAACTTTTAAATATATATGTATATTTGAAAGACCAGGTGGACACACTTCTCGTTCAATTTTTAGGGCTGGTTTGAGAAAATAATTAAACAGGCAAGTTCTACATGAGCTTTCCTTCATACTGCTTAGAGATGCTTCTTGTTTCAAACTTTTTTTTTTCCCCCCCAGTCTTTGGCTTCTCCAAAGACAACAATGGTTTTTCTCAGATTGCACATTTTTGTTACTCAAGGATAGGCATAGTTTACCCATGCCATTCTCAATTTAGATAACTAAAGTCAAGTTTGAATGAAGGCTTCCAATGGAAAAAGGACTGATCTGAGGAGCCTCAAATTTAGCCTCCACCTAGTCAGAAATCTACATGCTCCCCCTCATGCATCCTTCTGCAAAGTGTATAAGGAGGATTATACTGAATTATTAGTGTTCTCTAGTGGGGACTGAGGTCCAGAGGAGTCTTGACAAAAAACTCAAACACAACACAATCACATTTCTGAGCAACCCAGGATATGCCCTCCTGATACAACATAATTCAAAAATGAAAAATAAAAGCAAGCAACCAACTTCTGCCTGCCCCCACCAAAGCATCAGAGTTGAAGTCCTGCAATATTTTAATAAAATAAACACTTTCATGAGTTCGACATAAACCATGAACAAAGACATAGACACACAGACAATCTGCAGTTATCTTCAGTTTGCACAGGTCTGGACAAAGGCCATTCAACCTCCTTTAGTTACCTAAAAGCAAAACTTGGTCACATTATCACTATTATTTCTGCAATACTAAGAACATCATCTTTGAACAGGCTGGAAGGGAACTTCACTAATTTTCTGAATACACCTAGGTGATGCATAAGCCAATATAGATAGAAAAATATCTATTAATACATAAACAAACACATCTAGAAGAGCAAAGGGGGAGGAACAAATCCTTCCATCTGCATATTTTGTTCCCAAATTACCCAGCTGTGTAGAGTCTGAAGCACAGTGGACTTCAGTGCAATCCACGATTCTTGCCTCTCTTTTTTTTCCCCCCCCACATATTTTTCCCTCCTGCCCCATTCCACCCCTCTTTTTATTTTAAACCCAGCTATTTCTTCTCATGATCATTGTTGGATTTTTCCTCTGATCATGCTTTTTATGCTGGAAAAGGGTCATGAACATAACATAAATGCTTCAGTAACAGGCATTTTCTGCCTCTTGGGTGTGCAGAGCAGAGCTCTTCAGAAACCAGCAGAGAATATTAAACACAGCAACAGTATAAAGCACATCTACAGCATTTTAACTGTAGATGTCCAAATGTTTTAACAAACCAATTAAGTCTCTTTTATCTGCAGCTGTTATACAGGCAGGAAAATGGAAGAACAGAAAAATTAACTGGAAATCCAAAGTTACAGAGCAAGTCAGAAGCAGAACAGGTCTCTGTCAGCCCTACACTTCTAATATAAATGGCTACACTATGATCCAGAGAAGCCACAGTAAATTGTTCACAGTAATAGCCAAAATGGATCTAAACAGCTTTTCCAGCATCTATGACCAAAAATTTGGGAAACATGGTCTGTAAGAAGCTGAAGGCTGATTGCTGTCTAGTGAGGAAAAAAAAAATAACTGGGGATCCACTGTGCTAAATCATCCTAACTAAAGGATGCTGCTAAATATTCTGTCAGGGTGTGCTATGTAGTGGCAACTACTTAAAAAAAAAATAAGAATTACTGCTGCAAAAAACTGTTCTTTCTCTGCACTGTGCTCATTCTGCAAACAAGAGTCCTAGCAACTGACCAAAACCCATGATATGTAGCTTGATTCCCAAGTCTAGAAGAGGAAGCTCAGTGTAATGAGTACAGGCAACTGGACTGTTACTTCTCTGCTGCAGAATGCAATTCTGCAGCTCCAGGCTGAGGAGGAAACCTCATCCCTTTGGGGAGAGGGTCTGAAAGTTTCAAATGCACTCACTGCTCTACAGAGCAGCCGCCCTATGGTGAAAGAACAGCAGGTCCCTCAGACAAAACACCACATGTCCTGCTTTCTGTAAGAGTGCCTCAATCATAGGGCATTTGATTCCTCTAGAAATGCAAAAAGAAAAATAACTGTGCATCAAAACCAGACTATCCTTCTGCAATGCTTTGGTGTGGAAATACTGCACTTAACCATTGCATGAAGCAGCCTGGCACCACAGAAGTAATGTAATTGATCAGATACAAATAATAACATAGCAAAAGGGGTTAAAAACCATGCACTATATCATCCCCTGAAGGCACAGGGTATCAGAGCAGTGGTTAACATGCAGCTTCCTACTGGAGAACTCCACTGAGTATTTCAGGAAGATATATTTACTTCCAGGCTGTGACACAAAAGAAAAGTCTCTGGAGATTTTAGTCCCACAGCAGATGCTGTGACACTAAACTGTGCCTTCACTGCCACTGGAAGTTCTCCTGCCTTGAAGGACAGGATTTTTGCTTCAGCTTGAAGTTACCTGCTATTTTTCATTCTACTGTAGTACCTTAAACCAGGGCCTGGCACTGTTTTCAGCAGGTAAAACAATTTCCCATCTTATACCATTTTTCTTCAAAGTAGAGATAATTAAAAAAATTATTGCATGCTCTTTAAGCTCAAATGCAAAGGCTAGGCCAGCATGTGTACTGCATACCCAGTTGCAGACATGTCCTGAAAGTAAAGTGACAGCAGCACAGAGACTTTCCCACTCTTACAGGTGGCTAGAGCAAGGAAGGCATGTTGGTCAAGCCTTATCTCATGTGAGAAGACTATGCAAACCCTTCTGGTACCTGCACATTAACAAAGTAAAGCCTGAGCTGCCTGACATAACTTCACTGTCACTGTTACCTGTGCTTGCTAGGTTCAGCTAGCACATGTTGGCCTGTGCTTTCATTTGCTGGTCAGACATGCTGCGAGGGCCACAGGTGATGTAACTTAAACACACTCAAATGGGGATTCCCAGCACATCAGCTTTTAACACTGACCAGATAGAAATTTTAGCCCCTAAATGTAACTGTATGACTAAAACCATGAGAATGCTAAGGTCTACAAAATTTTCAGCTAAAAATGACCTTCAGACATAAGACCCAGAGGAAATGGAAATTAAAGACTGAGAAAAAGATGTTAGAAGTGTCTCACCATTGAGGGGATGGCTTATGGAACGAGACAGGTGCAGACAGGACGAGACAGGCCAGAAGCTGGACGTAAAGAAATGTGATGGGATCGTGAGGCGATTCACAAGGACAGGAGACAGAAGGGGGAAGACAAGAGATGAGTATCCATGCACACCTGAGACCTGTGTCGAGGCAGTTACAGATGTAGGAGACCTTGGCCTGATGGGGTCTAGTGGGCAAAGTCCAGGTTGATTATCTAGCACACAAGTGATGCCGGTGATCCTCTCCCTGCACACAGGCAGTGTGCCCTCAGGAGACCTCAGGTGCCGGCCCTCTGACAACTCCCTCAGTTTTGGATTAGTGACCCCTGGCTCTTCCTGGCAACCTGTCCTTGAGACTGGGCTCTCCACTGGGCTCTCCTTAGCAAGTCCTGTTGGGATCTCTCTACCAAGAACCAGAGACCCAGCAGTTTGAGTCTCCCTCTTGGAGGCTCGGACCTCAGGAAAAGAGGGTTTCTTTTTACAGGCCCCAGCAGGTGACTGTGGAGACTGTGGCTCAAGCAGGGTTTTTGATTTGGTAGTGGGTGAGAAGGAGGCCAGTGTGGGTCTATCAGGCAATGGCTTAGGAATGTCAAGAATCAGATGTGCTCGGTTTGATGATGCCAACTTGCTGTGGAAGGACTTGGGAGATGAGCAGTTTACAACTGGCTGAAGTGCGGGCTTCACTGGAGCATTTTCTTTCACTGGTAGCTTAATCTTCTCAGCATCTGTTGTGGAACTAAACTGTGTCTTCTCTGCCACTGGAGGGCTAGTCCTCCCATCAGTCAACATTTCAGTGGAGTAACCAAGGTACAGATTTTCCCCTACAGATATGCTCCTTGACATCTTAGCCCGGAAGCTGGTTGTAGGGTTCATGTAGGACTTTGGTTTTGCAGCCCTGACATCTTTGGCCAGCAGAGCACCAGATCCATCCATCTTCAACATACTGGCCGATAACACCCTGCAATTGTTAGGTCTGGGATCCTTCTCAACCACCAAAAGAGTCTGAGGACGCTGCTTGGCAGAGGATATCACTCCAGGACCCTTATCTGTGAAAATTAAACAGACAAACATACCAAAAATAGACAAGAGCCTGTGGTGAATTCCAAAATTGGAAAGTAAAAGAGCTACTCCAGCCTATGTGTATCAGCTCAGCCTCTAGGAGAGCAGTATGGAACCACTACTTCAGCTTAATATTGCCAAGCCTCAACAGCTCTCCCTCATCTGGCTCACACATTTCTGCTTACCTGATGAGAGAGACTTGCTCTTAGAGTGTATGGCCAGAAGACCTCAGACCACTGTGACAGTTAACTGACAGGCCAGAGGAAGCAGGGAAAATCTTACATATGATGTTGTGGTGATAAGGTTTATTTTTTTAAAAACAAACCAAGTGCTTATTGATGATTCATGAGTTGGCTGTTTAAAAAATTGAGTTCTTTCACACAGAGCATGGATACAGTAAACTCCCTCTTACTGTGTCCTCCGTCCCTCTTTCTCTCTTCCCTACCCTGGGGAGCTTCAGTTTTGGCCTAAAGCAACCACCCACAGCAAGAGAGAATTTCTTTGTAAATAGTTTGTTTCATCCTTGGCATTGCTCCTCCCACAGCTGCCAGACAAATATCAGAGACTGATAATTAGGAGATCAGCATCTGCATTACAAATTTAAAATACTTCCCTCGACAGGCTAGAAGTTAGAAGACATGCAAAGCCTGTAGCTCAGAATGCAGGAAGACATCATATTAATTTAATCCTCTACTCAGGCTCCAATCTCCCCATTTCATTCTTCAGTTTAAACCATCATTCCAACCTGTGTCCTTACCCTCATGAATGAGGTCGTGAACTGACTGTGCCTTTCTCATCACTGTATTCACAGGGCCTTCTGGAAAGGATGCAATAACCCGTCCAGGAGCCATACCAACTCTGCTGGCCTCCAAAGTTGATCTGCGTTTTTTCTGGACACAAAGAGCCTGATTTGAATTTACACTCTCCAGGAGCTGGCTGTTCTCCAATGCATCACCAGGATGGCTGCTGTCATTTTTCGACAGGTCTGGTGTAAACCGACTGGTCTGGGTTGGCGGCTCAAGGGGCTTTGAATCCAGTGTCAGATTTGATGAAGAGAGTGACAATTGTCTAGAGAACAGGATAAAGAAATCCCAGTTAACATAAGTAAGTATATTGCCCTGCACAAACAGACACACAAATTAAGCCAGTTTCTCTGTGATAAAGAGCCCCTCCCTATCTGGATTTTTTTAAGACAAAAATGCCCCAGGCTCTTACTGCTTCATTATACTCATCCCTAGAAGCACTGATCTTCAGGCATTTGACCTTAGGCTACATGATCCCAAATAGCATTGGGTCACTGTTTCCAGGGGGGATCATTGTAAAAGGTGAGAGTGAAAGAGAAGGAAAAATTCCAGGCAGAGGGAAGACTGGGCAAGGTCAGGTCAGGTCTTTTCTCTCAGGGCACCTTACTAACAATGGAATCTTTTAAATTCTAAGATGCCCTAAGAGAAAGTAATTATACTTTCTTAACATTATGAAAGCATAATTACTAGGAAAACTGGTTAGTATCTTCCAGAGGAAAGCTTAATTTCTTCTTCCTCCCCACTTCAGACAAGTACATTGGGCTTATTTCAGAAAAGAGGCAACTTTCAATCTGGCATGTTTGAACAGCTGAACAGATTAAAACTAAAAAGTTTTAGGTTATGAAAAACTACCTCTCTTGTTACATCTCTAGAGCACCAGTGGCTTCCTTTACTCACCACTGCAACTCTCCAGAAGCTTACACAATAGCTAATGACTGCCTTTCTTCCCACACACACACGCTCCCAACATGAGACAGCAGCAACAGCAGCTGAATACAGCAATGACAAAAAAAATTCCCTAACGTGGTGAATCTAAACACAACTGGTGAACCATAGAAGATGTAAGCAAATCTGCTCAGTCCTATAGAATGAAACTAATTTGAGCTGAGATTTCAGACTGGCATTTTAGAGGAATATAGGAGTATTTGTTTATTAAAAACAATAATGACCCCAAATCTACACAATTATTTACCCTATTTTTTGTTTGCATTTTTGTTTCTTTGTTTTGTTGGCATTTTTTTTCTTTAAACATGGAGAGGTTTTTTGAGGTGCTTTAGTATTGAGGGGTTTTTTTAAGAGTAAATCCCCACAGGGCTTTGTATGAAACACCAGAGGACCCTATGAAGACATGGGACTGAGAAACAAAGCTGAATAAGAAAGGACTGTAAAACAAAGGCAAAGTTGACAAGCCTACTTTCATTGTCCAAGCTGAATGAAATGCAAAAGAATAAACAGAGCATAAACAGCAAAGAGTAAATTAGATAATTAGCGATTCCTCCAGCTTAATCAATAAAGGCATTAATCATGAAACAATTAAGCAGATTGTTGAAAGAGGAAAAAGAACAAAAGAACAGTGTTACTTTAGAAAGAAATAGAATCATTGAAGTGACATAGGACGGCCTGTCCAAATCACAAGGGTCTGCAACCAGCCTGCCAGCTGCTGTGCTAACACTTTGCTGTGTCCAGGCACATCAAGGACAGAAGTTTGACCCAGGGCCTAGAATGAGAGCTACTCACACTAGTAAAAATAGACAAACAGAAGCACTCAAAAGAGAGTCATACCTGAGAGCCGGGGACTGGGAGAGAAAGCGAGAGGAAATGCTGAGGTTTTCAGTTCTTTCCAGACTCCTACATGACCCACCTAAAAATTTTGGTTAAATGGAGAGAAAAATAGAGCAGTTTAGTTACAGAACAAATATTCTGAAACATGCATTTTCTTATCACAGAGACTATCAAATGTTCCCCTATATCCAGAGGGATTTTTGGAGCTAAAAACACAGGGAATGATACAATTTCATTGCCTTTGCCTTTTCTGTTCTACGTAGATAACTCTGCCCTAAAACTGCTACTCTCCCTAAGGGTATGCCTCCTCCTGTTTTACTTCCCTTTCTGTCCTATCCTGCCTGTAGTACTGTGAGGCACTGGCATCAAGCAGAAAACAAGCCAATCAAAGGAAGAAAAAAACACAAACAAAACAACACTGAAAACAGACAACTCACATAGATATTGCTGCCTGCAACCATTATCAATTCTAAAAAGATATGCTTTGTGCTGGAGCTAATCGATAAAGACTAACCAGCTCCTTTGCGACTCTCGTGTCTTATTCTCTCCCTCCACCCAGCATTTCAGCCTTTTCTTTTGTGACATTTGTTATGCCTCAATGTACCACTAGAGGCCAGTACATGTCACCGATGGGGGCGGGTGAACACAGTTAATACCTTCACTTAGAACAGGAAAAACAAGTTGGAGAACAAGAGAGCGGCTTTTCAGAATTTCAGGGGCAATATTTAACCCAAGCTGACACAGACCCCAGTCTCATCCACACAAACTTACACACAGACAGATGGAGTTAACAGATGTCAGTCATCTTTAGGGCTCACTACATGGGTTCCCCATTTTTGCTCCCTTGTACACACAAACGTGAAAGCCTAGCAGAACTTGTAGCTTGGTTTGATTTATAAAGGTGACAAATCTGGAGTGACCACACAAAGTCCACCCCACCGAGCAGAGAGTTGTACCTTTGCCATCAGTGCTGCTCAGGGTCCCAAAATGTTGCTTGAGAAACTTTTCCTGATCGGGTGGGGGGGGAGCTTCTCCCTCTGGCAAGCCAGAACTGACATCCTCCTCTCCATCCTCTCCCTCCAGGTCTGAGATGCCATCCACACTTAGGGGCTCAGTGCTTTCAGAATCTGGAAAAAGGCAAAAAAAACCAACCCAATGCTGAAATAGCATAATGACAGTAACGTTAGCCAGATTTTAAAAATAATCAGCAAAAATGCTAAATTGAAACTAGAATGTTAAAGCAAAGGTTGGTCAGCATTAACTGTAATTGTCTCCTCTGCTGTATTCCCCAAACTGCACAGCCTATGGGATAACCAATATTAAACCTGCCTCCATACCTAGAAGGTAAAAGAAAACCAAAGGCACACAGGAAAGGCATGCTTTAACCAAGTCCTGCTTCTCCAGTGGCTTCATTGAAGTGCCTGTTCAAATGCCCTAGAAGCTTTAGAGCAACAACAGCAAGACTAATATGAGTGAGACCTCAGGTAATCTCACGAAGAGGATCAAGTATTAGAGGTGAGGATAGCAACTGATAAGCATGGTACAGAATCACCCTGGCAAGTTTCTGCAGTGTTCCACATCATATTTAAATACATGTATAATGTCTTTGCATTTTACCTTCATTTGGATGGTCCGGGCTGGACAGACGACTGCTGCTGTAGTCTACAGAGCAGGCACTGTCTGGGCTGTGTTTGTCTGGGCATCCATTACTGTGATAATCTCTACTTAGCTTCCCATGGGCCAATGCTTTTACCTGGAACTCACTACAAGAGAGACAGGAAAGATACAACACTAGAAGAGATATTTGTTTGGCATGTAAAGAAGCACATTCTAACTTTAATAAGGCCTTACCTGAGTTAGTAACACCTTTGATTACAAAAGTAAGGCTTCAAATGGAAAAATAAGTTGATATCTCTTTTCATTATACAGTATTTTTGCATTTCATTAAGCTTGGACAGTGAAGTCTCAAGGAGACTGTCTGACTTCCTGGGTGTTGTCAGTTTCCCAGGATTACCAGGTGCCAGCACAGCACTGCCCTGGCTTGATTTCCGGCATAAAGAAGGAGCAAATGTAGGGGTCTACGTAATGAAAAAGGGACTAAAACCAGACCTATACCTGCATGATAAAGATTTGCCTGTCACAGATTTAAGTCCTAATATAATATTTTTTCCACTATGATCACCTGCTTCTTTGGGAAACTTCTGTGTTGAAAAACAGAGAAGATTCTGGGTTTGAGCAATAATAATTTACTGAAGAACATCATACAAAAATACAGTGTTGTAGGACAGGGTTCCTGATTTCTGCTGCTATTTCTTGAGTCTTATTTTGTCAAATGACAGCAGCACTGTTCTTCTGCCTGGTGCCGGAGGACTTCAGTTTTCCACTTTATGAAATACTTTGGTTTCAGATGTACTTCAATGTGAGGCAGGATGCAGAAGTCACTCAACAGAATTGAACGGCAATTACTCCTGGCAGCTTGAAAATTCTATATACTTTGAGATGTGTCTAGTCCATATCCAAAATCACCAGAGCCCCTCCCTTTCTCACATGATGGAGCAGCACATGAGTCTGCACTGTCTAAATGTTATAATTTAAAAAAAAATTAAAATGTAAATAAGGAGAAACTGGGAGAAACCTAGCACCTCCAACTGCAAAATTATGGCATGCAGTCTTGCATAAAGCCTGTCTAAAGATATCAGCCCACTGTTTGTAACAGAGTAGGAGGAGACAGAGGAAATTAAACAGCCACTAGCATCAGGTTAAGAGGAGAAGGGAAGAATAAAGTTCAGGGAAGGAAAAAAAATGGAGCACAGAAAGAAAATTGAGGCAAAACAATAAAAAAAGAAACAGCAGAGTAAGAAAGCAGGTTTCCACTGTCTCCAACATCCTTTTTGATTCCATCTATTGTATGCAAGCCTTACATTCCACATTTCTTAAATTCTTCCCAACTACATTTGAAAAATTATCATAAATAGTAGTGTCCTGTATTTTTTTCTGAGCAGATATTTCAAAGTGTATACACCACTGGTTTTACAGCTCCCAAGTTTTCCCTTACTTATTTCAACCCAGATAAGGGAGAAAGCAAAAAGGCTGCTCCCAAGTTGTTTATTAAAAACAAACAAACAAAAAAAAAAAAAACCCCAAAAAACACCAACAAAAACTTGAAGGAGAGTGTTAATGTGCAGTTTCCTCAGAGGAAAGATTATTTTAATGGTACCCTCTTAATTTCAGATTCCTTTAGCATCAGGCTGGTGTAAAACTTTCAACTAAACATGCCTGGCATCAGTCAAGCAGTAAGTCAACTCACCCAAGTTACCACACAAGCTGCAAGGAAACTAAAACAGAAAGGTCTAAGCCATGCACAACAGAGAGCTTATTTTTAACCTGCTAGAGTCTGTGTTTTGGATTTCATCTTGCTCAGGGTAGATTACACACTCCTCACTCTCAGAAGGTTCCAGTTCCTGAGAGAAAATCCCCTCTTCACAAGACATAAGCCGAATCACTTGAGGTCTCATACAAGATTGGTTATCTTGAAGAGGTATTGAGCTGCCAACCTGGTTTAAAAAGAGAAAAAACTAGATATTACAGGTGTTTTTCCGTAAGTCAACAAGTACTGTGCAGAGCTGGAAAGTATGCTTTACAGCACAGAATATGATCAGAAACTGGAGATCAGAAAACACAATATTCCTATGTCTTTCCTGTTCCTCCTTAGTTACTATTCCTCCTTATTTACTACACTGGACGGACTACTGTTGTAGTTTCCTATTTTGTTTCCTGTTTGCAGTCCCCTAAAATTCTCTTGGAAAGTACTGAAATCTCCATCCCTCTTTGACCACATATTAGAAGCGTAAGCCACACAGCTGCAGGTTCTTCCTTTTATATAAAGATCAGACATAGTTCAGAGAAGTCTGTGGGCCACAGCTGAAAACACACTGATGTACTGCACGCAGCAAGCCCAGTCCTCTTCTCAGTCATGCAGTTATAAAGGAAGGAAAGACTCTAATGAAGTTAGGCACCAGGACAGACTGGTACTGGAAAACAAGCATTAGGTTTCTTAGGTATGAGCATGCATGACTTGCTGTGACCCATCAATACAAAGATTAAAGAGAACTTAATGATCGAGCACAACCCCCAGTCAAGGGCATCGTAAGAGCCACATTCAGTGGCTACTGGAGTTAAGAAATTGCACCCCAGCAGAGTGGGCTAACAGGTAAACAAGTACACATCTATCATTCCAAGCTCAGCTTTTCAGCTTGTTTTTGCCATAATCAAAGAGCTAAAAGAAAACATGAGTTCTTCCCTGTCACTGGAAAGAAACCGTGATCTCATACAGGGTCTGCTATAAGATGACAAGAGTCACATGTTGCAGGAGTAGTAACTCCAGAAGAGCTATCTAAACAGGTTTCTCAGAAGATACAAGAATGGCATCAGGTAGTAACAGATATAGGTAATAATAAACAGAAGCAGGACAGATGCACTCAGAGTAGATTCACCTCCTCATAGTAGTACAGCCCTTACTTTGTTGATGTGCACAGGAAGATCTGCCTGCTCCTCTCTGTCATCCCCGTTGCTGTTCTGAGAGAGCGAGTCTCGACTGGGAGAACGGGAACCAGAGAAAGACTCCAGCTGACGCAAGTCCAGCATGGATTTCACAGTCATCTCTATGCTGCTGCTTGGCTGGGACCAGCGCCCGCGCTGCCGGGGCATCTTGCTCATCGGTGCCTCTGAGCGCTGGATTGCTGCTATCTCTTTGGCCTGAAGGGAAAGAAGAGAGGGTCTTAAGGACTGAGGGTCTGCTGATGGAAAAACAGGACAGGAAACACAAGACCCCACAGAAAAATACAACTATGTCCATCTACATAAAATCATAGATTCTTTACGGTTGGAAAAGAGCTCTGAAGTCATCAAGTCCAACCATCAACCCAACACCACCATGCCCACTAAACCGTGTCCCACGTGCCAAGTCTACACGTTTTTTGAACACCTCCAGGAATGGTGACTCCACCGGGCAGCTTGTTCCAATGCCTGAGCACTCTTTCAGTAACAAAATCTTTCCCAATATCCAATTTGAACCTCCCCTGGTGCAACATGGCCCCATTTTCTCTTCTCCTATCACTTACTACTTGGCAGAAGAGACCAACCCCCACCTTGCTATAAGCTCCCTTCAGGCAGTCGTAGGGAGCAATCAGGTCTCGCCTCAGTCTCCTCTTCTCCAGAATAAACGATCCCAGTTCCCTTAGTTGCTCCTTGTAAGACTTGTAGAAGCCCTAAAGCTGTCTGTGAGACAGCTTAAAATTCCTCTCTAATCATAAAGCATCAATTAAAAATAATACATTTGATGCTATTTCTTGCATAACTGAATGTTGAGGTGCCTCACTTAGATCCAACTGTATGATCAGCTTCAGCAGCACATGATTCAGGTCAGAAATGAAGGGGCAAAAGAATAACCTCTAATGGAAAGATACTGATGCAGAAATCTCAAGTGAAACTGTCTCTTAAACTAGGCTCTATTTTGCCACCCTCAAGTCATTCTCCACAGAGCAGCTTCTCAACAGTTTACCACCTCAGCTGCACCTTTGCCTCCAGCACGAATGAAACTTGTAATCTCCATGGGAATTTATTTTCCAGTTTCCCTATGATGAGAAATACAACTTGAAGATTTAGTAACTCACCCTCCTCATTTCCCACTGGGAAAGGCTTCTTGAGAGGGTAAGGTCTGGATCTGCAAAAAGGAAAACACGTAGTTGACATCCTTGGCCAGCAGTCCAGCTTTTAGAGACCTCTTCATCTTTCCTCAAAGGAAGCATTCCTACACCTTTTGAACCTGCAGACCACTGCCAACACATGCTTTCCAATAGACTACCAAATCATATCAACATTTTCATGGAGACATAGTGTTTTATGTGCAGACCCATTGCAGAACACTTGCCACAGTGCAGTGGCCCACCCCAAGTTGAGAAAAAACCCTGCTCCAATACACTGTAGCATCTGTGGTAAAAATACCTCAAATTAGTAATGGCAATATCTACCACAAGTTTTATCAGACATTTCTAGAATCCTCCAGGAGATCTCTTTTGGCTTCTGTGGATTTCTAATGGCCTGTAGACCCAAGCTGAGGATACTAATTCAAAATTTACTTGGCCAGTTGAAACTAGCAAGAAACTTGGCAATTTAACAACTGAATTTCTAGATCAGAGAACTCCAATATTCACCCCTCTTCAGATGCAGGAATGGGCAACTCCACATTACTCATTGGTGTTGATTCATCTGTTTCTGTCTTAATCTTCTCTTTCGGCCAATATCTTGTTATCCCCAAATCTCTCATCTATCTCTCATCTCCCCACTTCACATTCATGCCACTTTTCTCCATCTCCACTCAGGCCCCTCTCCCATTTTTACCTGAATCTCTGTCAGTGTTGCAGTTGGACTGAATATGGAAAGACTGCAGCCCACGTAACTCATCTTCATCATTCCCTTCATCTTCACCATCCTTGTCACTGTCTGACGAGAGTGCAGGCACAGAGGACAGGGCAGAGATGGACTCGTGCCTGTGAGACCGGAAATGGAAGGAAATGGTCTATCTCAAGAATTGCCCACCATTTCAATCTCTACACCACACAGTTCTCCACCTTAGCTCCATCCACACTCAGCAGCTGTCTCACCTCTCTGTAACAGCTGCTGCTCTAGCAAAATCCATCTCTGAGAAATAGGGCAAGTTAAACTCTGCACAAAGGTGTGTAGAGCCTGCAACAGCTTTGTATGGAAGGATGACAGAAACAGAACAGAAGTAAATGAGTCTGGGAAAGTCAAGAGGCATGAAACTCGGCCTTCCATTTCAGACCCTACTGATTCATAAGGTGAAGATGGCAGAGCATATTTGAAAAGCAAATATTTTTTCCACCCTTAAGCATTTCCTTTCTGGAACTGTTTTGCACATCAAAAATGTCATTCCCTGTTTGACAGCAATTCGGTATATGGCAAATTATCAAATAAGAGACAGGTTCACATCCAAGGATTGCACCATCCAGATCCTGGAGGCACAGCCCACTCACCATAAGAGCCCTGCACTGCCTTTTTCAGCCTTCAAACACAAGGAATAATGTAAAACATATTTTGGGCAGACCTTTAATCAAAGTAGATCAGACAGGCGTTCCTACAGAGACCTCAGAGGCACTCCCAGCATAGAATTCCCCAATACCAATCAAGAACACTTACCAAAACCAAACTCTACCTTCCCTCTTTCTTGTCCTTCTCTCACCCTTTCATTCAGCAGAACCAAATGAACTAACCCACTTTGGACAATAATTTAACAAATTAAGCATCCCCAACAAATAAATTTGAGTAGTACCCACTCTATGGCCATAAGATAAAGTGCCAAACTCATCATTAGTGACATTTATAGGGTATCACTGGTGGGTGTTGAGTGCCAAGCATTAATCATGAAATGAAAATAGCTCATCTACCAAATACAGCCTGGCCAGGGAATAACTTCCCCTGCAGCTGACAGATAGCAGGCAGTATATCTTACATGCAAGAAGCAGTTAAGGTATTTTAATCTTTTCTCTTCCCACACAGTGGCAGAATGATAATTTCCATTTTATTAGGATTAGCTGAAAAATAACTATTGAACCCTTTCAGATGAGCTTTCAGATGTTCTGGCAAAAAGAAGAGTGAAACTGACTGTATTCTGCAGAGTCCTCCAGTGAAACAGTTTCATATTGGCTGTCCTCACCTACTTTTGAAATTTGAGTTTGTTTGTCTCTTCCCCTTTGTTACTGTCCACCTTGTCACACTCAGGTTCTTGTGACTAAGCAGAGGTGCTTAGCACCACAGTACATTTGAGGTCATGTCATGTTTCAACCTATGAGGTATTTTAAATTTACGTATGGTAGACAATATTAACTTTGTATCAGTAACTTTTATAACATCCTTCTGCTTGTATGTTTGAGGAGTTTATTGAGAAAGACGGGTTGCATTATTAGACATTTTAACATCTAATCCATTGAATACCTCACCATGATGAGGTGATAAGGCAAGGCAAGGCTACATGCTTGCTGAACTCCTGCATGTACTGTCACTGGTGTAAATGGAGAAGGTAGGATTGCTATCAATATGTTTTTTATTATGAATAGAAAGCTGGCCTCTGATCATCAGATGGTGAGTGACAAAACTAGTTAAGGAGGAGAAACGTATGCTCCAATATCCTCAAAGATGATGAGTAAGAGAACACAAAACATAGTTTGGAACTTGAAGGGGCATTTTTTTCATACTCCACAGGAAGTGCCAAACAAATTATGAAGTCACATGTGTCTGATACAAACATAAGGTTATCTTTCATTATCCCAGCAAAAAACATGCCTCCCTTCCACATTCTTCTTTTTAGAACTCAAATATGCATTTCAAACCCAGTCCTGGGACTTTAAGGGAGATAGCTAAAAGGGGTTTTCAAAAGGATCTGAGGCCTACTGACTTGCATCTGAGATACTCTCAAAAACAAAACCTAGGTTCACAAGGTCTTGAGTGATTTAGCTGTTGTGCTTGCTCAAGTCGATCCCTCAATTTGGGCTTTAGTACTTCCTCTTTTCTTTCCCTGCCTTCTTCTATGTACTTTTAAAAAAATTATTCTAAGCCCTTCTGTTGTACACATCTCCTCAAGACTCTTGCTCTGTTCTTGTTTATGCTTCGATGGAAGTTAGAGTAATGCAGAGTGAGGTTCCAAGCACAGGAGCTGCTTCCAAATAAGCGCTACACGAGCACATTCAGAAAGTGAAGGAATAAGACTGCTGGGTTTTGCTGAAT